CCCCTTCCTAAAGCTCAAGCTCAGAACTTTACAGGGCAGCTCTAGGGGCTCAAGGCTGGCAGGGGTCACCAAGTGAACGAAGATCAGGAAGCACGAAGGCCTCCCAAGTGAATGGGAGCCACTCCGTGGTCTGATTTAGGCTCCATCTTCCTTCTAAATTGTATTCAGGGGTCTTGGGAAGGAGAAACATAATCCAGGACTCAGAAGAAGGGTGAAATCTGCCTCTGTCCCAAAATGAATGTCACAAGTTAGAATCCAGAAAAAAAAATTCATTTCTCTAAGCATGCTGCTTTTTCGACCCTTGGAAGCCTGAAGTGTCCACACCTCTCTTCCACTAGCCTTGAGCACGTACCACGTGCCTCGTGTTGGGCCCGCACTCAGGTCATGGGGATAAACCAGTCTTTTCCCCAGAGAAGGTCCTGAAGGTTCCAGTGCAGAAAACAGCACATATGCTGCAGAGCCCAAGGCGAGCTAATACAAAGGATGCCTGCTTAATTGCTAGTGGGGTTCATTATACTTCAGCTTGGAAAATACCTCCAACAAAGGGTCTGCTGTAATATAATGTAGAACTATTTATGGCCCTCCAAGTACCAGGGCCTGGCTTCTCCAAGATGGTCCAGTGACCAAATTGTTAGCTAAATTCCAAACTAAGAAAACATGGTCAGACGCAGGAGAAGGCATGATCTCACTGTGAAGTGTTTTTCTGTTGTGCCCACAAGTTCACTTTTGTTTGAGGGGGTACCACTTGTCATATAACTGTATCTGAATTGTGGAACTGACTGATCCATTTTGATGTGTACTGTGAAATTTTTCACTGTAAATGTGTATTGGACTTTAAATGTTTGGTTTTTGTTGGCCATATATTTCAGAAAAGTGGAGTGGTGTGAAAGATACTGGGGAACAGTGTCTCAGCCCTGGCATTGCCAGTTACTGGTTGTGTGCCTTGGCGGTGAGCCTGGTTTCTTCATCATCTGCACAATAAAGAGGAAGGAAGAAGGGGAAATGATTGCTTAAGGGCCCTGTAGCTCTAAGATTCTGTGGCTGAATTAGGACTTTAAAAAGTGAGTCCTGATTGGGCCACACGCTAATTATCTGCTCAAATTGAAATGATCTAGAAAGAAGACATTTTAGAAATCTGCTTTAAGCAAATATGCTTTTAAACCAACTCAGCTTATAGAAATCATATACCCAGAAACTATATAATGCATGAAAAAGACTGTTCTAATATTGATTACATAATTCGAGTACCATAGATACAGATCAGGGCGTAAAATATAAAGAAAGTTGTATAAAGTGATTTATATAGTCATCAATCAGTATAGTAAATAAATCTAAAATCTGTGTAGCATTCTTACCTTGTAGGCCAGAAGACAGAAATATATGGAAGAGTTCATGAAAAATACCAACCTCCTGAGCAGAAGGGAGGTAGACCCTCATCCACACACAAGCTGATTACAAACTGTTCACTCTGATACTTAAGGGTCTTCACGATGTAGCCCCAGATTTACTTTTTTGCCTTAACTTTGCTTTTTCCTCTTCTTTAACGCTCCCACAAACTAGAGGCCTCGGCATTCCCCAAATGCCACTTCTCAGGTTCCTTGCTTACTCTTTTACCCTGCCTAGAAACCCCAGCCTTCTTCAAGACCCTTGCTTCAAGCAGAAGCTTCCTTCTGTGCTCCCAGGCTAGTATCCTACCCCCCGAAACTTGTTTCAGTTCCCCAGTACACCCCCTCCCAGTCTTCTTGTTACGGAGTCCAAACTCATTCTGCTGGCTGTATGATAGGGCAATAAATCAGGAGACGAGGTTTTGGGGCAAGGAATAGCAACTTTATTTGGAAAGCTGACAGACTGAGAAGAAGGCAGACTAACGTCCTGGAGAATCATCTTCCTCAAGTCAGATTTCAGGCTCCTTTTATACTAAAAAGGAAGGGGGGTGTGGTTGTCTGTTGCAAACTTCTTGGTGTAGAAGTTTTTTGTTCTTGGAATCCTTTGTTCTTGCAGCTGTCCTTGTGGGTCGGGTCATGGTGTCCCTGTAAAACCTCCAACAAAACAAATGTTATTTTCTATTACATTCTAAAATACAAACCCCTCCTCTTCCTATCACTAAATCCTTTCAGATGGTTCTAGCCCAATGTTTGTCTTATATATGCCACATCTTCTCTTTACCTGGTATTTTCTTTCTAAAGCTTATCACCCATGATAATCACTTTAAGAACAAAAACTTTATCATCGCAATTCACAACTATCTCCATGGAAGCATCTGTAGGCAGTCTGCCCCCTTGGATTCTGTATGCGTTCTCTTCCAAACACTGGCACAAATTGTGTGAGTTGGGGGTGCCACAATTGGGAATAACCAAGGAGGAATGTGGGATGGGCAGATAAAGAAAAAAAAAGATACATATTGATTATTCTTTCCCAAATGTTCTTACAGGAGAAAAAAAAGCTTTCTAATCCTATAATCTTCTATAAAGTTATCCTCAGTGATCTATCCAATAGAGCTGTTATCCTAATCAGAGAAACTGAACATACTTTTTGAAAATACAAACAGCAAAAATTGAACTTTAAAATATTCAGTGCATTTTCCTTCAAAATAGAAAATACACTTTGCTTTAAAAAATGCTACTTAAAACCTTGCATATATGAAGCATATCAGAAATAATTAAGGGGCACAATAAAAGACCGAGGGGCACATTAAAATGGTAATAGCACACTCTCACTTATTTAAAGGGCTCATTGTAAACCTAAAATCTGATGATATTTTATTCTTCCTCTCCTGCCTGTCACTGATCATTAATATCTAACAAAATTAAACAAAGCCTGCCAAATGCTTAAAATACTTTTTGCCACCATCTTTGAGATTCTGTGATCTCGGCCATTCTTTATTCCCCAGGGAAACATGATGCAGGTTCCTACATATGATTGCCTGCAGGGAGAGAACACCCTGCTTATGCCAATCTGAGTAGTGAATAAATTACACTCTGGTTTTACAAAGAAGAATGGTTTTTATGAATGGCCTAGAAAATTAAAACGTAGTCTTAGGGGAATAAATTGGCAACGAATGCCCTCGAGAGAAAGGAAATCATATTCAGAAGAAATCTGAATTGGAAAGACTCAGAGAGCTCATCGACCACGTGACTATTCCAGACACTTATTCCAGAATGCCTCTGACCAGTTCCTGATCCACCAGCATGCTAATGAGGGGCCTCGCATACTGCACAAAGTAAGCTCTTTGGTGGTGAAGAGCTTGAATTATTAGAAAACTCTAACTTATAGTCATGTAAAATCCAGTCCCTTTTAGATTTGCCCTCTGCACTGATTTTGAAGAACCACCCCCCTTCTGTAATGAATTGCACTGTGGTTAAGACTAGATGCTCGAAAGCCAAAGAATGTAGATCAGAAATCATAGTTCTGCCTCTTCCTAGCTGTGTAACTTTGGGGAAGTCACTTAACCTCTCTGAGCCTAAGATGTGTGAAAATAGAACATGCAGTTGCTATGGGGATTCAGTGAGAATTAAAAGCACTTTGCCCAGTGCTGAGCCCAAAATAAATGTCTATGTGTGTGTGATAAATAGTGTCCATATAGTGACATTCTCTAAGTGATGCCTTCTCAGTCCCTTCAACCGTGTTGTAGGGCGTGACTCTGACCCCTGGAGTCACTCACGCTCCAGTTTGGTGATGCTTGTTTTAGGAGCCAGAATTGAACTCAGGGCCCAAACAAGGTCAGATCAGCATGTAAGGTGGTCCAGATGGACACCGAGATTTAAGGGCTCCGAGGGAGCTTGTGGGAGGCATCCAGGGGTAGCCAGGGCGAGGAGCAGTGTGGAATACAGGCTGGATGTGGGAAGCCATAGGCATGACTAGGGGAGTGCTGAGCACAGATGCATCTAAAGTAGGAAGACAGACAGCAGCATCCCTAGTAAGAGAGACCCCATCTCAGCTCTTAACTCCCAGGAAAACCACGGCAGCTGTGAAGGTACATCTACAGGGCTGGCCATCTTAGGAAAAAATTGTTAAAGTGACCTCATCCCAGATGCATGAGTAGGTGAGACGTGGGGTGGACCTGAGGGGAAACTTATTAACACCATCCAGTCCACTTATGGACCCTTTGATGTGTCAGGCACTGAAGAAAATTTTAATTAAAAACTTTTAAGGGTAAAATCTGTCATCTGTGTCTCACTGTTAAAGTACCAATAATAAAAAACAATTTAATACCATCTCCCTAAGCATAAGACTATTTGACCAACTTCATTGATTCCAAGCTACAATGAATAGGGTGGCCATTAGCCACATCTGGTGGCTTACATTTAAATTAACTTAATTAACATCAAATACTTAGTTCATCAGTTTCCCGAGGCATGTTTTGAGTAGCCCATGTGGCTGGTGGCTCCAGCATGGGCTCAGGAAAAATAGAGATGGTTTCCATCATCCCAGAAAGTTCTATTGGACAGAACTACTCAAGAGTGACGTCTCTTGAAGCCTAGAATTTCATAGTTAGCCCATCAATAACTGGACAGTGCTGAAATATGCAGCAACTATTTGATTACTGCATACTGAACACTCATTTAAATTAAGTGCCCCCCCAAATATAGAGTAAAAGGAACTCAAATAAAAGCAAATCTTGTAGCCAAACATTTCCCTTCTTTCTCTGGTGG